ACAGAAAGAATTTCAGAATACCCTTTAAGTCTATGCCTGAATACTAAGCTGTGCATATGTAGGGTTAGGCTCCAAGAGATTGGACAAAAATTAACTACCAGAGGAAAAAAAATTACTGGGAAACTATAGTCTGAACGACTACCAGAACTCACAGAGAAAAGGAGTCATTTGAGTTTTATCCAATGAGGGTAGAGAAACTTTGTTGAAGACCTGCAACATACAATAGAAAACCTAAGCCAAATTCTTTAGGAAAGGACTAGAAAATCCTTAAAACAAAAGGATAATCTAGACCCTCTCAAAGTTTAAAAACAAGCCTCAAAAGATCAAGCTGATCCACTACTAGATAACAGCCTCCCAAAACAAAGCCCAACACTCATTAAAATTCTAGACACTCAATGTATTTGTTTTATAATGCTGCCACAACAAATTAACATAAATTTAATGGCCTAAAACTATACCCACCTATTATCTCATTGTTTTGTAGGTAAAAATTTCAAGTAGTGTGATTCAGTTGAGTCATCTGTTTAGACACCCACAAGGCTGAAATCAAGGTGTTGGCAGGGTTTTGGAATAAACTTCTAAACCCTTTCAGTTTTTTGGCTGAATTCAGTTCCTTGCGGTGTTAGGACTGAAGTCCCCATTTTCTTGCTGGCTATCAGCCGGGGTCCAGTCTCTGCTCCTAAAGCAATGGTGGCTAAAGTCCTTCTCAGGCTTCCATTCACTTTTGTTTCTCCATCTGCTGTATCTCTCTGACTTTAGTTGGAGAAAATTCTTTGCTTTTAAGGGCTCATGAGATTAGACTGGGTTTGCCCAAATAATCTGGGATAACCTCCCCATCCTAAAGTCTGTAACCTTAATTATATCTGCAAAATCCCTTTTCCTATGTTACATACTTTTTCACGGGATGCAGGGATTAGGATGTGAACATCTTTGGGTAGCTGTACTGCCTACCTCACTCAACAATGTCCCATTTACAATATTCAGCATCCAATCAAGGCATACAGATAAGGCGCAGGAAAATATAACTTACATCCAGGAGGGGGAAAATTTGTTAATATATATTTTTTTCATTTTATTTTATTTTTTAGTAATCTCTACACTCAACATGGGGCTCAAACTCACTACCCCAAAATCAAGAGTCACATGCTCTTCTGAGCCAGCCAGGTGCCCCAAAAGTCTATTAATATAAATAGTCAGCAATGACAGAGAGAATAGAACTAGCAGATAAGGATTTTAAAATAATTATTAAAAACATATCCAATGCTTTTTTTTAAAAAAAACATAAAGACTAAGGAAATAAATGTAAACTAAACAGACAGAACTAAACAGAATTTTTTGTTGGAAATACATTATCTGAAATTAAATTTTCACTGGATAAACATAAGAATAAAGTTAAACACTGTAGAAGAAACAGTCAGTAAACCTGAAGACTTGTCAAAAGAAACTGTAAAAACTGAAGTACAGAGAGAAAATGTTGAATAATAAAATGATCAGGACCTTAGTCATCTCTGGGATAATATCAATTAATCCAACATATATGTAATTGCAATCCTGGAATATAGGAGAAGATTAAACAAATTTTTTTCTACATTTGATGAAAAATATCAACCCCATATTCAAGAAGCTCAACAAGCCCCATGCAGGATAAACACAAGAAAATCAACCAAGACACATCATAATCAAATTGACTAAGACAGTTAAGAGAAAATTTTAAAGCAGATGGGGCATTGTGGTGGGGGACACCTTAAACACGCAAGGAAAAATTAAGAAGTACTGCTGACTTCTCACAAGAAATAATACAATCCTAGGGAACATGGAACAACATCTTTAAAAGGGTGAAAGACAAAAATGTATCTTCCTAGAATTCTATATATTCAGAATGATTCCTTCAAAACTGAAGGCAAAATAAAGATATTGTCAGACAAATGATAGCTGAAAGAAATTGTTACCAACAGAGCAACACTACAAAAAATAATGAAGGAAGTTCTCCAGGTAAAAGAAAATGATACGAGCTGCAATATGGATATAACCAAAGGAAGGAAGAACACTGAAATTGGTAAATATGTGGGTAAATATGAAAGTTATTTTATTCTCTTATTCAATTTATTTAAAATATAGCTTATTAAGAAAATAAACAATGTATTCGGAGTGTATAACACATGTGAAGTAAAATATATGACAATAGATGATCAGAGTAGAGAAATATATTATTGTAAGCTTCTTACATTATACATAAAATGGTATAATTTTATTTCAGGTAGATTGTGATAAGTTAAAGATGAAACTACTAAACCATAGCTATTTTTCAGCCCCCAAATACATAAATATACCCATCCATACAGACATAAAATGTAGCCAGTAGAAGAGATAAAATGAGGAGACAAAATACTAAACAGAAAAACAAAACAAAACAAAAACCTAACTAATCCAAAGAAGCCCTGCAAAAAGGTAAAAGGAACAAAGAACATATAGGACAAGTAGAAAACAAATAGCAAGATGGTAGACTTAACCCAATATATCGATAATTACATTAAACATAAAAGGACTGAACACACCAATTAAAAGACAAGAGATTGTCAGACCGAATTAAAAAAGCACGACACAACTATGTTTGTCTACAAAAAAAAATGCAGTAATATAAGACAGGGGAGGTGAAAATAAAAAGAGAAGAAAAGATACACATGGAAACACTCATCATGAGAAAGCAGGAGTGGCTATACCAATATCAGAGAAAGTAGATTTCAGAAGAACTATTACCACAGATAAAAGGAAAAATTATATAGTGACAAAAGGGTTAATTCATCAAGAAGACATAACAGTACTAACTGCATAAAATGACATAAGTGCTTGGGAAAGCACTTTGGCAATTTCTTTTAAAATTAAATACACACTTACAATACGATTCAGTAATTCCACTCCTAGGTATTTAGCTGCAAGAAAGAAAACATGAATACAAAAAAAGACTTTTAAATGAATATTCATAACAGCTTTATAATAATAATTCCAAAACTAGAAACAACTCACAGAGCTAACAAATTGTGCAATACTACTACAAAACATCATGAATCTCAAAGCAGCCAATCACAAAAGAATATATATCATTTAATTCCATGTATATGAAGTTCTAGAAGAGGCAAAACTTGCCTGTAGTGATATAAATTAGATCAGAGGTGGCGGGTGCTTAACTGGGGAGAGACACAAGGGAATTTGGGAGTTGTGAAAATGTTCAATAAATTGATTAGGGTGGTGGTTACACAGTGTATACATCTGTCAAAATTCACTGACTGTACCTTTAAAATTGAAAATTTTATTTCTGTAAATGAGGCCTGGATTTGTGGACTTAAAAACAACAATGCGACAGGGGTCGGGAGTTTTAAGGAGAGTTAACAGGGCAAAACGTCACAGAAAATGAGATAACTCTGAGAATTGAAAATAACGTGTTTCACTACAAGGAAAGTGTTAGTGATTTTATAAAGCACTTTCACTGAAACCGTGTGGAATCCATGATGTAAGATATTTCAGTTATATGTACCTAGACTGAGAAATTCAAATAGAAAAAGGGCAGACTATTCTATTTCAATTAATGCTTCTCAAACTGTAGTGTGCATAGGAATCACTTAAAGGTCTTGCTAAATGCAGATTCTGATTCAGGAAGTCTTGGGTAAGAGCTGAGATTCTACATTTCTAAAAAAACAGCAGGTGCCGATGATGTTGCTGGTTCATCTACTGCACTTTGAGTAGCAAGAACACATCACTTTTGTAAGGCATTGCTGGTTTGTATCAAGAGCCAATTTGGCCTAGAAGTTTCTCAAACCTATGGAATCCATTCCATGCAAATTGACAACCCAGCCCGCTTCCTATTTGTGAACGTAACCAGTACAGGTGCTCATGATGCGGTGGAAAATCAGTGATTTCCCATCAGCACCCTCAGGTTCAAATCCCAGTTCTGTTCCTCAGGCAACCATAATCTGAGTTAGTCATTCCTAGGCTGCAAAATGAGAGAATAGTTCCTGTTTCTCCTCTCTAGGCGGTTGTGAAGATTACAATAGAAAATGTAAGTGGAAAGTATTGCATGAACTATAACCTAAAAAAAGGGGGGGGTGCCTGGGTGGCTCAGTTGGTTAAGCGACTGCCTTCGGCTCAAGTCATGATCCTGGAGTCCTGGGATCGAGTCCCGCATCGAGCTCCCTGCTCAGCGGGGAGTCTGCCTCTCCCTCTGACCCTCCTCCCTCTCGTGCTCTCTATCGCTCATTCTCTCTCTCTCAAATAAATAAATAAAATCTTAAAAAAAAAAAAAGGCTTAAAACGTCAAGGAAAGTATACTGGCAAAAGAATTTAAGTACCAGAGTTTGAGAAAAGGGCGGGACCTAAAAGTAAGGTGGGGAGGGGGCTCCGGGATTATCCCCGTGGGCGTGCACGGAATGGACCATATTATAGGGAAGGGGAGCCCCATCTAAAAAGTAAGGTTCTGGATTTAAAAATTATCCCTAAATTACGAAACCTGAAATATGAACTTTTCCCTTATTAAATATTTCAACTAGAACCTAACTCGACGTTCAGTGATGCTACTGCTTCAGTCTACTGATTTCAAACAAAATCCCACCCACGCATCTCTGTCCCCTTCTCCCATCCATTCGTCACTTTTCTGCCCCCGCCCCGCGCGGCCCCAGCCCGGGGGCAGTAGTTTCCACTACGCTGAAGGGGTAGGTGGTAACGGACTCCTCTATCTGCTTGCCTCGAGGAGGGGGGCATATGAGTCGCCACGTTCCAGAGAACCGTAAGAGATCCGGCCAAGAGACGCGGAATCACGAGGAAATCCTAGCCAAGGATGCGGCGTCGGTGCAGGCGGCGAGAGGGGAAGCCCGCAGCCGCTGTGCCGGCGCGCAGCTTTGCCTTCGACCGCGCCTCCCCGCGCATCCCCCCACCAGCCTTCGCGGGATGGCACCGGCGGGAGGGGGCGGGGCCGGGCGCGCGGCTGCCGCCTCTGCAGCCGCCTCCTCCGCCGCGGCCGGAAACAATAGTGGAGGAGCCCGAGCCGCGCGGAACTGCTCCTGCGGCGCGCGGAGCCGACGGTAAAGACCTCGCGCCCGGGTCCCCGACTGGCCCGCGCCTCGGCCCCGCTCTCCCGCGGTCCCGCCGCCTTCGCGCTCCAAGCCCCGCGGCCCTTCGCACTGTTCCGCGCGGGGCGCCCCGACGGACGGAGAGACGGACTCCCGGTCGGCGGCATCCTGCGCGGCGGGTGCGCGCCCCCAACGCCGGATGTGGAGTGGGGGCCTGGCTCCCCGAGGCTATGAGTCCCGGGCTGACCGGCTGCCTTGGCCCTCGGACTCCTTCTTCCTGGGCGGGAGGAAGTCCGGGGCGAGGGGACCCCAAGGCACCTCCCGGCCCGGCTTGGACACCCCGGCTCCGGCCGTGCCGGATCCGCACGGTGGAGCCTCTGCCCGGCCTGCCGTGAGGGTGCTTCAGACGCTGCCGGGACGTCCTCGGGTGTTAGCGCTTCCACGTGTATTTTCCTGCCGCGGATCTCCGATAGGAAGCCTCGCCACGTCGAGTTAGCGAAACGCATCTCGGTTCCCACAATGAAGTTAGCAAAGCAGTGTCCCGAACAGGTCGTTTTTCCTGCATTTAACAGCGTTAAGTAGGTTGAAAGACGGCCCCGGCAGCGCTGCTAAGCTCTCTGTGCGTGGGCCGGGGATGGGGCAGAGCAGAACCCCCTGCAAACTGCTTTCCTTCAGATCCCCTCCTCAACCGAATGAAATACGGGATCAGAAAAAGGCGTTTAGGCAGAGTGACACCTATGGCAAGGCTTTAAGTTTCACTAGCTTTGTGTCATTACACAGTAAGAGCGATACTGAAGTACAAGTATGGCGATGCTTGTTTAATGAGTCTGTTGCATTAGATAAAGAGCATCCTTCTAGAAGTTCCTAATATTACCATCCTGTCAGGTTCTTGAAATTGCATAACTTTCCCTTTCTGTTTCTTAACAGGGGCACTATGAACGAAGAGGAGCAGTTTGTAAACATTGATTTGAATGATGACAACGTTTGCAGTGTTTGTAAACTGGGAACAGACAAAGAAACACTCTCCTTCTGCCACGTTTGTTTTGAGCTAAATATTGAGGGTAAGGACACAGTATAGATTCATTTTATGTCATGAACTTTACTTTTGCTGAACTGGTTATAAGGTAAAATAAAATTTCTTGAATGACTGGAAATTGTGCCAAGTATGATGTGTGAAGATCTGTTAAACATAAGGATTTATGGAAACTGAAGCTGAAGTTCTCACAGCTGTGAACTTAAATCTTTGCCTTTTTTTTTAACTCCCACAGTACTAACCCCATTTTTGCTAATATAAAAACAAAGTATGAGTATTGATTAGTAAACACGTTTTCTGGTTTGAGGCCTTATTAAGTTGTCAAGTTTAATAGATCTGTGTGTATGCTTTTGTTCTTTAGTTGATGGCAAATGTAATTTAATTACTTTGGCCTTCCATGCTGGTACCTGACCGAGGTGAGCTAGAACTTTTGCCTAGTGTTGTCTTATCTGGAAAAACTTTTTTTAAATTTTTAGATAACCTCTTTTCAGTAATCACACACACTTTCAATAGTTTTTAAAAATTGAAAAGGTTTTTTACATTTCTTAATAGTATCTCTGAAAGCATATGAAAAAGAGTTCTCCAAATATTAAAACAAAAAATGTTATGTACGCTGTTTGGATTGGTGTACAGTTAATGTGTGTATGGACGTTAATAGTTTGCCCTCAAGAAACATGAGGGATGTGTTTTTTTCTTTAATCTTGATCTTATGGACCCTGACTTTTAAAAAATATTTATGTCTCAAACTAAAAAGAATCTTAATATTCTTAAAATAAAAAAGTATAATTATATGGTATTCATTTTCCATTTAAGATCATATTGGTTATGATAGTTCTGCCATTTTACTCTGGAAGAATTATAGTTGCTGAACATGATAATCGATGGAAGATCTTGGATTTCTTGGGGGTAAATAGAATACCTATAACTTTGTCTTTAATAAGTGTAGTCATTAAAACTAATTTAAAAGGGCTCACTTAAAAATAGGGTTCTTGTATAGCATTTGAATTACCATGTCCTTAATAATACTACAGTGAAAGATCTAAATTTATGTTCTTTGAAAATAAGAGTTGGCCCTATATGTATTCTTTTACATTGTAGTTTTTTTTTTTTTAAGATTTTATCTATTTATTTGACAGACACAACGAGAAAGGGAACACAAGCAGGGGGAGTGGGAGAGGGAGAAGCAGGCTTCCCGCTTGAGCACGGAGCCCGATGCGGGGCTTGATCCCCAGGACCCTGGGATCATGACCTGAGCGAAAGACAGACGCTTAACAACTGAGGCACCCATGCGCCCGTACATTGTAGATTTTAATTTTGGATGGGCAAAGGCATTAGAAATGATCCAGCTCAAACCTGTATTTTACATTGAAGGAAACTGAGGGCCAAATAGGACCTTTCAAGGTTGCTCTAGTGGTGATGGCGTCCTGTTGTTAGGGCCAGACTCTGTACTAAGCACCTTACATGAGTAACCCTATTTAACTCAGAATAGCTCTGGCATGGCTTCTGTTATCCATTTTAAAGGTAATGGAACCTAACCTTTGAGACCTAAGAAGTGCACTTTGAAGTCACACAGCAGTAATTGACATGCTGGGGTTTGAAGCCTAGTGATTGTTTCCAGTATATATATATGATCTTAATACCGTTGAGCTATTGTCAGTAGTTATTTTAGTTGATAGGGCTAATATTAGAAACCCATTTTCCTGAATCCTAATTAGCTATCATTGCTACTCGGTCAGCCAACTTTTCCTAACCAGTGCTTCCTACTAAATCATCATTAGTGGGGATCGTGCTGTGATGGACTTTTTCCACAGAAACCTAAACTTCCATAAATTGCTTTTCTAGCCTTTTTAAAATAAGCCTTTTAACTGGTTTTTTGTCATTATATAGAGAATATACAGATACTCCTCAGGTACCACTTTTGTAAATATTTCATTTCTGATAATATCTATTTTTCTTTAAAAGATTTATTTATTTTAAAGAGCATGCGTTCTGAGAGCATGGGGGGGGCGGAGGGTGGGAGAAGCAGAGGGAGAGGGAGAGAGAATCTCAGGCCGACTCCTCACTAAGCATGGGCTCTATTTCAGGACCATGAGATCATGACCCGAGCCAAAATCGAGTCTGACACTTAACCAACTGAGCCACCCAGGTGCCCCGTGATAATATATATTTTTTTATTTTATTTTATTTTTAAGATTCTCTTTATTTGAGAGAGAGCATGAACAGTGGGGGAGGGGCAGTGGGAGAGGCAGACTTCCTGCTGAGCAGGGAGCCCAATGTAGGGCAATATAAGGCTCCATCCCAGGACCCTGAGATCATGACCTGAGCCAAAGGCATACGCTTAACGGACTGAACCACCCAGGCGCCCCAGCCCCCTAATAATATCTATCTTAATATATAAGTCATATGTTGTTGAAATAATAGTTATGTTTAACTTAAAAGACCGTTCTCTATTTGAATTAGAACTGTTTCGTTTTGTACTCTACATACACTCAGGATTTTATATTTTAAAATGTGAATTAAACCTTCATGAGGAAAAATTATTTTAGAATTAAACTTTTTTATCTCAATTTATTTCATGTGAGTTCTCCCAAATACACAGATTTTTATATTTACTGCACTAGTCTGTTATAACCATTTTAACTTAATGTCCTAAGATTATTATAGGAGAAAACTGAATTCCGCAGAATTTTGGTTTTTCATATCAGTATACAGGTTTTTAAAAGTCAATGAAAAAAAGGTGATAATAAAGTAATCACATACCTGAAAAATAATAAGGTATATTCATGTCTATGCCAGTAAATCTGTTAAAGTGTTTTAAGGTTTAAAACACTTTAAGCTATAAAGCTGTTAGCACAATGCCAGTCAATGAATGTTAGAATGTAAGAACTTGTAAAACATGACATTTAACTTTACTAGTTTGGTATAACTTTTTGTAGTATAGTAATGTTGATCTTACCTGGTTTCTTAATTTACTAATAGCTAAATTTGCTCTGAAGCATTCTGTTTTCTCTGCTAAGAGACCAGTTAAAAATTTTCTTAAGAAATAATAACAATTTACCTAATTTTGACTCCACACATTTGTAGTAAACAAAAATATTTTATATGTCTTTAGGATTGCTCATTAGGTCAAATCAAAACTGGTCTCTTCAAATGGCCTCTTGTTTAAAAGCTGTGTGCATGCATATATTTATAAAATGAAAATAAAAAATAACAAAAGACAGTTAAATCTTGTCAGATTTCGTATTCTGAGCATGGCTCTAAATTGCCTTTTTTCTGTGACTTTTTGGTAATTAAAAGGAAATAGTACCTACATCTTGTATACTTCCTTGTATACTTCAAGGATCTAAGAAGTGTACTTTGAGAATTCAACTCTTTTGAAATGCTTGTAAGATTGACTTTTCTTTGTACCTGTAATTCACCATTAGAATAATTTGCCTATGGATTAGAACACAGATGCATAAACTAACTAATACTCGTGGCCTATATCCATGGCCCTAAAACACTATAAACTTTTTTATGCATGTATGGTCAGATACTGTAATATGCATCATAGTTCATTATGCTAAAATCTCTACAGTTAGGATGAAATTACTACCTTTCCCTAAGCTCTTGAGGCTGGGAGGAAGTCAGCCCAGGGCAATCAGGAGCCAGTAATGAAACTCAGTTGTAAAAGGTAACAGAGTCAGAAATGAAACTAGAGGGGACAAAGATTCAGAACTCTGATCTGTTACTTCATACTGTCTGTTTAATTTTGTGCCAAAACACTGTGCAAATAATTCTTAGAGCATCCCTACCTTCCTGTAATAACTGACTTCCTTTCTTTTCTGTGAAAATATTTTTTTTTTCCTAAGACTGGATCAGTTCCTCTTATGCCAAGCAAGATTTTAGTCTAACTTGATGGTTGATTAGTAACATCACTAATGCTCACTAGTGCATCTCGGTCTTCTTTCTCCCCCTAATTTGTTGAACTTTCTAGGAACTTTTCTAGAAACCAATCCAAATTCAGATCCTTGGTAATCTTTCTAGCAAGAAAAATCTATAGGTCTTTTCTCTTAGTTAAGGCACTGGTGAACCCAGTGCTTACTTTTAATCTCGTTCTTCCTTGATTCTGTGTCTTTGACGAAAACACTGTTCACATGGTTAGTAGTCAGGGAGCAGTTTGAATCTCAATATTAAGTCCTGATTCAGTTTGGATGTCAAGATGGTTATTTACTATTCAGAGTCTGTCAATAGCTCTTCCATTGTCCTGCTTCTGACATACTAGCATCTTTCCACTTGAGTAAAATGACCCACCCCTTGTGATAGGGAAACACAGCTAACTGAATCTGGCATTAGCCTCTTTCTCTTGTTTCACATAATTGCAAACATCATACATTGGTATTAACTAAGAGAACACTTTTAAATATAAAACTTAATGTAACTTTTGAACTTTAACTTGGTTATCTTTGATATACTTAGAAATACAGACACAAGGTTAATTTTTTTTTTCTTACCTGCCTTTTTGATGCCTTTAAAGTACCTGTGACACTTTAAATAAACTTGAATACTTTTTAAATGGCAGTAACAGTTAAACCTCATTATATGGACAGAAATCAGGAGGGATGGAAGTGGAAAGTGGGTTTGGTGATAAGTTTAAATTATAGAATATTAAAAAAAAATAATTGAATCTAGGCTAACAACATCTAGTGAAGATTTGGGACTTAACTGGAACCCATCTTTGAGGAGCCAGGTTTCAGTCTTATCCCTGTCATGGTGGCTTCTTTTTAGTTACTCCCAACTTTCCCTCCCTTTTAACTTTGTTAAGTTTTCTAAATCTAAAGTCTAGGACAAATTTAAAATGTAGATTGTACCCAAATTTTGGTTGGGAAGATATATCCATTAAGAATGAGATCTGGGGCGCCTGGGTGGCTCAGTTGGTTAAGCGACTGCCTTCGGCTCAGGTCATGATCCTGGAGTCCCGGGATCGAGTCCCATGTCGGGCCCCCTGCTCAGCAGGGAGTCTGCCTCTCCCTCTGACCCTCTTCCCTC